ATAAATAATTAATAATATTCTGAAAAGTTCTATGATATTCCAAATTGTTTCATAAGATTCCAGGAGGTTTCAGAATGTTTTACAGTATTCTAAAGTATTCCAAAATATTTCAGTCACATAGTGTGTGGTACAGTAAAAGCAAAAAATTTGTTATATATTGTATACAAAATCCATAAAATAAGAAGTATATGATAATTATACATGTTGCTGAAATTCATAGATCCTTGATGCAATTGACGCAATTATTTGATGCAATTAATTGAGTCACTATTAAAACATATAAATAATTGAGTCATGATGCAATTATTTTTGAGGATTTTGGGAATTGAGTCAACAGCAAATAATTTATACCGCATGTATAATGATAATACATATTGACCTGTTATTATAAGTAAATATATTATTGAAAAAAACTTATAAATAAGAAAAACCTAAGAAACTATCTGCTATAAAAAAAAAATAAATAAAAAACATTTCAGACAAAATTGATAGAAGTTTAATTAAAAAAAAATATTGTTAATATACATATTGTTAAAATTTATAGATCTTTAATATAATTGATGCAATTATTTGATACAATTAATTAAGTCCCTATTAAAACATATAAATAATTGAGTTATGATATAATTATTTTTGAGAATTTTGAGAATTAAATCAACAGAAAATAATTTATGCCACATATATAGTTAATAGCATATGTGATAATTTATATATTACACAAATATAAGTAGAATATATAGTTAATATTTTATAATAAGTAAGATATTGTTGTAGTAGAATATGTTAGAAATTGAAAGCATATTATTTTTGAATCAACAATCCCTCTTACAGGATACAAACCAATGTGTCTATCTAGGTTACCACTTCTTTTTTAATAGCTGGATACAACTTTAACAGCAGTAAAGAAGTATTGGCTTAAGCTGCCAGATTATGGAATACAACTCTCTGATATTTCACTTTACTCATAATAAAAGTATTTATTTTTACTTATATTAGTTAGGCTTTATTTTCCTTTTTTTTTAACAGTAGCATTGTTGTTTATAGGTTGCAACTTTATTGTTGAGATAATAAAATAGTCATGTAGTTAATAAGAGAATGTTGTGATTAAAATATAAGTGAGTTGAATAACTGGAGCCTGCTCCAATTACTTGTTGTATTATTTGAATATACAGTATATAAAGTAAATATTACCAGAATCTATATACAGTAATATACAAGTCATATGCTCTCCCAATCAAATAAGTTATCAATTGATTATTTTGCTATTATTATTGTTATTATTGTTATTGTTATTGAATGTATGTATTTTTTGCTAAAAAAATTAATTATGAATGAGTTTGAACAAGTTTAATTTTGTTATTAAGAGATAAAAAAACTTTATTAAACATTTGTTGAGTATAGATTTTTGGATAGAATAGAACTAATTATAGTTTTTAAGTAATTTGAAGAGAGTATAAAAAGTGAAAAAAATAAGATGTAATATTGGTTTTAAATAAAAAAGAAAAATAATAAATTGCAAAAATTGTATTAAGACAAATATTAGATCCAATAACTTTGTTTGAATGTATTATAAAAAAAAAAGATAAAAGAAAAATAATTATTATGATTATATAAAAAAAAGATATTTAAAAACAAAAATTATGAAGAAAGGCAGCCATAAGCTTTTTTCTATACAACCAAAAGTTAAGAAAAACCCTCAACTTGCTTAAATCTTAACTAGAGATTTTATCCCAATGCAACAATATTCCTTAAAGTTTTTATATTCTTGGATTTTAAAGCTTATTTACTTTAAAAAATAAGAAGAGTGAGATATTTCTTGAAAGAAGGTTTTCTAAAAAAGAAATTTTTAAAAAATCAGTAGTAAACAGATAAGAGTTTTTTTTTGAAGTAACAAGCAGTTCTTACACTTTATTTTTATTTATATTTTTAAACTTGCAGTATAAGATTTATAAATTTATAGTATAATATATGTCTCTTTTTGCTAGAAAGAGTTAAATACCAGGCTTATCAAATGCGGTTCTTTTATCTAAGCTCCTTAGCATTATCCAAGAATATAGAAAAATAAATTTTAAATCTATATTATACCTTAAATAGTGTCTAACTACCTAGTGAATTTTGAATATCTAATTACATAAAGGTGCTGCAGCCACTAGATACAAATTGGTTTTCAAGTTATAACTAAGATTAGTATACTTGCTTTCCAAATATAACTTAATATACAACAAGCAGAAAATGTGTTCTATCTTAAACTTTAAACAGGTGAGATTTTTTTTTTATATATTATATATATATATTTGAAATATATTAAATAATAATAATTCTTATTATAAGACTTTTTATACTGATTCTTTTACCAATTCAAAAAATAGATATTCTCAAAAGATTTTATTTCCTTTTGATAATAAGGTCTATATATTTTTCTTAACAATATTGGTTTCCTAACCAGCAAAGCAAGCAGCAGCTATCACTTGTTTTATTTTTTCCTTTTTAAAACACTTTTCATGTTTATTTTTATAACTAAATATAAAAAATCTAACTAAAAGGCCTATAGCAAGAACATCTTCTTAGAAAGAAAACTAATAAGAAAAAACATTTTCCAAAAGCTCTCAAGAAATTTAAAAATCCAGAGAAACAAGAACAAAGAAGCTTTCAGTCTTTCCATTATCTTTTTGACTTCATATTTCATTTTTCTCAAGCATACTTTTTTTTTCTGGTTTTTTTGAAGAATTTTGCTTATCTCAGTTTGATTTTAAGTTTTTGATTGCACCAGATCTTCTAAAAGATAATTGATTAAGGCTATAAATTAATTAATTATATCAGTTATAAAAAAAGTAAACAAGATATATACTCTTATGTATTTCCAATTATGCAACATCAAATTAATGATATAATTGATTTCTGAAAAAGTTGGACAGTTCTTAGTTAGATAAAATAGAAGTTGTGAATAGAAGAGAAATAATATACTTTTTTGTTTCTCTTTCCTTTTTTTTTTCTTTTCCTATTTTTCTTAAGAACAGGAAATAACAATAAGATCTAGATCTTATCACAATCTGATAACAAGTTGAAGTATCGATATTTATTCCAAAATGATTAAAGAAAGAGATCTTGAAACTATCTACCAGTTGAGTAAAGCAATAATTTCAGAAAAACATGACTTAAGAGAGAAATTAACAATAGAAAACTAACATATTTTTTGATTAGAAGTTTTCAAGTATAAAGTTTTAAGAAATACTCTTCTATAAGTATCTTTAAATCTTTTTGAACATTGATTGCTTCAATAAAAATTAAACCATCTGATTGATTACAGGTGATAAAAAGTGAGAAATTATAAAGGATTTAAGTTTTAAATTTACTAAGATAATTTTTTTAATGATAGTTAAAATAGATAATAGCTTTTTTCACTTTTTTTTCAATCGTTTTTTATGTATACAGTTGTACTGCTTTTTTTTTCCTATTCTTTTTTTTTTTCCTTTTTCTCTTATATAGTTTCTACAAAAGGAAGGTGACACAATTGAGTTTATGGTTGTGATTGTAAAGGGAATCTGCAGGTTATGATTTTATTGAAACATTGGAATCTTAATCCTTTTTAACAGGGAAACAATATTTTACTTCCATAAATCACATCTAGAGGCTTTGGCTGTTGATGGGTAAGCTAAGTCAAGGAAATTTTTACTTTATAGGCATTTTCATACTTGTAATAGTTCAGTTTTTGATTAAATAAATAAATAACACTAGCCTGATTGTGGGATTAAATAATAATAATTATTATAATAATAATTATTATTATTATCCTGATTTGTATAAATTATTTGAATTCGATGATTACCATTGTATACAATATATATTTATCAATATTATATTTATTATATTTATTATTGTTGTTTTTAATATTTTGACAAAACAATAAAAATCAACAATCTAATATAATTTTATAATTAATTTACATAATATATAATATATTTGTATTTATATTACAGTATTAATAATGTTTATAATTACAACAATAGAATTTAACTTTTAATATTTTATTATTAAATCCATTATCAAATCTTTTTTTAACGTTTAAAAACATAATGGAAATATTTTCTTGTTTGTTCAGTGATAACAATAATAATGATGATGATGTATTGTTGTTTAGAAAAATGAAAAGTTTTATGAGAAATATTTGTCGATTTAACATAATAAACCAGACATTAATTGATTTGATGAATTTTAAAAATAAAGATACTGTATATAATATGATATAATTATACATATAATCACTGTATATTCCTAAAAATAAAACAAAGTGATTTAAATTTATTTTATAGGTGTATACGTATTTTACATTTGTGCATTATGTCATATACAGTACAATTAATTAATTAATAAAATAAAATTTACTGTAAATTACAGGCCTTTACACCACAAACCTTTGGTATAAATGGGCAAACAGTCATACCCCGTATGTTTATACAGATTAGTCAATCAATTGCATAGTGTATATTAACATTTAACTTAATATCCAACAAAGCGAAATACCGAAATACACCCAATTACTGTGCCTAATATCAATCTATTCATATTTAACCGGGGACTTTGGTTAACAATTATTATTCTCATAATCGTACCAAAATGGAATTTGAGATAATAGGAATAAATACCGTATATTATTCCTTATTTAATTTAGTGTTCATGCTGTATAATTGCGAAAGGATGTCGGCATTAGAGAAAACGGATATTTTTTTCCATTTTTACGATAAATGGTATTTTTTATTTTAAAATGTGTCCATTGTGTGCTATACAACTTCGAAATTCGGATTTATACACTGTATCTGCGTGGAAGCTTCCAAATAATAATGATGTTGAAAAATATTTGTTATCGATAATTCACTTCATTATGCTGTAACAACATGGCCCGTATACAACAGTACAGCAACCAACCTTTTACGGCTTTTCACGTGATAAACAATGCATTGCAAAACAAAAAGTTCATGTCGATGTAGCGCGACTGCATGAAACTAAGAATAAGATGGATCATTTACCGCAGAGTGCCCAAAGTAGCATACAAAGAGGCCACAAATAATATGCGGTATATAAAAAGTAGATAAGAGAGCCAGGTAAAAATTTTCCTTATGTGATGCAACTGTATCACGCACTGGCATTTTTGTTCCGTGCAGTGCGGTAAGCCAAAGTTGCCACAAGGGGAGAGCCTCTTCCTATCTCGATCAGAGTGTGGTGATACGTGATTTTATTTTTGGAGCTTTGTCGTGGCCGATTTCATTAAATCAACTGCACCATTTGAAACGAGGCATAATTGGAAAGTAGATGCGACACACATTTAAGGGAAGTGTTTTTCGCACGCATGAGTTTTAGCCAACATCATACGGACGGGCGTGCACTATTTGTTTCTTTTCCAAGCACAATGAATGAATGCGCTACGTATAATTGGGATTGGTTTGAATTTTGGACTTATGCAAAGTTAAGGAAAGATAAAAATAGGATGCACACTTATTATGGGAGGATGCATGTACATACGATAAATAGTGCGCACTTTCATGTGATCGCGCCAGATGTCAATCGTCAATGAAATTTGAGAAAATGGTATTTTTTAATTTCTCGATGCATTTATTGTTTTTTTTCAACGTTAACCAAATTAGCGATAGCATGATGAAATCGATTATCTTACACTGTATGTTGGTTTCCTCGAAGCTGGTCAGGTCCACAACGTTTCACCTCCAACTCTCGAGTTTTAAATCACATGACGGCAGTGACAATGATTGTAACGGATATTTACTGAATTGTATTTTATTTTTTTTTTATTTGTGCCCAAGTCTCTAACGACACAAATAGTAATCTACAATAGGTGCAAACAGAGGTGTGGATAAGTTTTTTCACAATCAAACGCATTGTTTCAATTACTTGTGACCACATCATCATCATCATCATCGGAAATTAGGACAGTTCGAGGTTATCGGTAGCCACGTGCCACAAAAGCGTAAAACTTAAACATCCGGGTTAGCGTTAAGAGTAATCTCCCCTTTTCACTCCCTTGGGTTGAGGAGGGGTGCATGATCGTTGATTTAAAAAAAAAAAATACCACTGCAATGATTTTTTCATTGATATTTCACACTGTTCGGTCCAGTGTTATTCTACGTTGCTGTTAATATGGTTCCATTGTTCAAACGATACTATCATTGTGCATATTATGAAAACATAATCTCGCATTGTCAGGGTTAATGGGATAGCGCACAGCAAGTAAAATTTGTTTTACATAATTCAACGTGTTAAATAGTATAATATCAATAGGCTAATATAGACCACAATCAATCATCGCTATGCCTTAAAGAGATCTTACTCCGGATTTTTCGTCATCGCTATTGATGGAAAGAAGAAAAAAAAAAAAAAAAAAAAAAACCGCCGCGAAAATGTGCTTATCGCCTACATGATACGTAATCTTTGATCATTCGGGAGATACCTAGCTCTAATCTCGGCTTCTATAGTAAGCGCATTTCGGTGTACTACTTCACCGCACAATATCAACCCATCTTTCTATATATGCTATACCAATTTATTGTCTATTTATATTCATGCCAAAACAGAACGTCTTTCAATAATAAAAATAACCAATTGTTGGGTTTTGTGTTTAATGATCCATCCTTTCTCCGAACCAATCATCAGGATAAACAAACTCGCGAAACGGGGGAATGCATGTATGTGGCATGTTACATTCGCGCATGTTGTCGTTCGCATGTTGAGGAGGCCTTCTTTTGTATGTACGTACGTACGCGGTCGTTCGATTAATTTCTACGCATCTCGACAACTTGGGTGCATGGCTAGGTGTTTTATTTCCAGTGATGCCTCTTTGGGTCGTTCCACCGATTCCTCTTCAGGCTGTTCCACAAATTGCATTCGAGAAAGTATTACAATAATGTTTCGCACATACACCGTTTTATTGGACGAATGTATTCGACATAACCTGTCACCGCAGATGTCCTCTCCAGTACAAATACGCACGGAGAGCGAATACGTGCAACATCAATTTATTAAAGGCTAACTGTTTTGATTTTATTTTCAATCAACATCATTAAGTAATCAGCGAGTACTTTATATTGGAAAGGTAAATATAAATTCAAATTTAAAGACTCCCTTAATCTAAGCTCTTTTTTTTATTATTTTTTTTATTTTTATTATTATTATTTTTTTTTTTTTTTGTTTGTTTCTCTGTTAATTCTCTCTGTGTACAAGTTCGGTTGCTTCTTGGTTAGCACCGTCCGTCCGTTGTTTTCCCGTTTGTCAGTTTCTCTTCTTTGTAACGGAAAATAGGGTTTCCTTTTTTAACCCTTCTTTAGAATACATACACAAACCAATTATCATACAGTAACGATCCGTATAAAGTGGTAACGAATAAAAGCTTATCCATCGTTTAGCGTGGCTCTTCTGCATATCAACTGCAAAAGACCTTTCGTCCTTGGCTTATTAGCCCTTTTAGTTTTGAAACCTTTTTTTTATGATTTGAGACGACTTCTTATATTAATTGCTCATCCTCTTCTTTCGCCCCTTTAAACTTTTTTATTTTCGCCACTTTTACGATTAAAACTTGTCGCCTTCCCGGCTTTATGCAATTAAAAAAAAATTTTTTTTGGAATCTGATATAACTCCACACTTTAGAAAATTTTTGACATTATCGAATACTATTACCTTCACTTGACTTACATTCTCTTTCTTTATCAGTTTCTCCGTCTTTCCTTTCCCCCTCAAACTTACGTCGCACGAGACAAACTCAAGATTCATCTCGCGAATCTGTGACTCATACTTTGTATTGAGTTCGTTTCGTTAGACTTGTTTATCAAAGAAAAAAAAAAAAGGAGCTTACCAAAAAATTCTCACCATTACCTTGCACACTTGCAACAACTTGCCATCTAACTTTTCGACGGACGTCACAAATATCTACTTTAAAATGGCGCTGACGCCCCTTGACAGAGAAATAATAACTATACGACAGGAGGTGGAAAACGTTCGCAGCCAGAACGCTTCGGTAGGTTTCTTGTTTGATTAGGTAACTTCTCGGGCATAACGTTATTTAATATATGCGTTTTACAATATTTCCCAAAGTATTCTTTGGAAGCCCGCGTCTATCAATGACAAAAAAATAAAAAAAAAGAACTCGGTGTATCAATTATTTGTTCAAGATTATACTTTGTGACTGAAATTCACTGTAAAGAAGAATTCATTTCGTTTCAACAAAAACTGCTTTACTCTATTTACTCACCCACATCTCGCTCTTCTCATCATATCAGCTTCGAGAACAACTTGATCGCGCTCACAAAGAAAACATAACTTTGGCTGATGACAACAATTTTCTTCGCAAAAAAAATTCCTCTCTTCAGCAAGAAATCACCAGCGACCGTAATGAGTATATTCGAATCGAGACTGAATTTTTCAATCAAGGTCAGGAGGTCGAAAGGCTGAAGAAAGAAAATATTGGTTTCTTGAAGAATAAGCGTGAAGCTGAAAGAAAATTGAGAGAAGAGGTATGCTGATTGTTCCTTATTTTCGGTACTTTTGTACTTGTCGAATTGTCGTGTTGACATCCATCGTCAAATATTTGTCGCGCGAATTAGACACAAGCATTCGAAAATGATAAGATCCTGTGGCAAGAACGGGAATCGGAATTAAATGATCGCATCAAAGCGCTTCAGATGACCGTAAACGCCCTCGATCAGCAAAACGAGCAAGCCGCACAAAAGAAAACTGGTCAGTTCAATTCCGATGATGTTATCTGTTTCCTACGTTTTTCTTTGTTCCCCGAAACCCCCACTTATGCATCACGTACTTGTTTTATTCTTGTGCTATGCATAGATGAGGGTGTCACTTCAGCTCCTGAGACGAATGGTTCTCATTATAGCGCCATTCGTGAGGTCAAAAATGCTCAGCGTACAATCAAGGAGCTCGAAAGGCGCCTTAATGAATTGACCACTGAAATCGATAATGCAAAACAAGCAACCACCGAATCCATGAACCTAAACAAAAGTCATGCTCGCAGGATTCATTCGCTGGAGACCGAACTATCTCAAGTGAAACATATGAATCAATCGTTGATGGAGGAGAATGAGGCATATCGATTGTTATTAGGGGAAAAGACCATGAAAGGTGAATTTGTGCTAAATTCCATCATGCAGGTAAATACTTGGCGTAGTGCGATAGATGTGTATGACGCCGATTTTCCTTCGACTGACAAACCTACCATCGTTCTTCATAGAAAAACAATGAGAAGTCTGAGAAGAAACTTCCGGACTCGCCCATAAAGGTGACAACCCGTACGAACAAGGGCGACGGTTCTCTTCTCGACATTGACATTTCTTCCATCGTGAAAAGAAAGTCACTCAGTAATGATTTGGCTGCTGAATTGAATCGCGCCTCCACGCTCAGAGAAACTCTCTTGGGCGAGCGCGTGTACAAAGAAAGCGATCACACCGTGATAGAAAGTAAGTGAGCCTACCATACCCTTGATCGAACAGAGGTTGGTTTGTTGAATTCCACCGACTAATTGCTCGATCATATACTTTACTTTACCAGTCTCAAGCGTTCAATACTCGGAATTGTTGGAAGAGATTAGATCGCTCAAGGATGCCAACAAATCAATGACTCTCTATATTCAAAAGATTCTCAATCGTATTATGGAAGCAAAAGGGTTTGAGGAGCTTTTATCCACGGAATGGTCGGCGAGAAGCATTTGTTCAAGTCCCACCTCTCCCACAACAGGCCAATTTCCATTCTCGGAAAATGCGAATACCAAGAAAATGGGACGTCGCAAAACAGTTTCTGGTGCAACTCCATTCACAGGACATTTCCGTAGTAACTCCCAACCTGCAAGCAATTTCACACCCCCAAGCAATAAGATAATATCTGAGGAACCAGAGACACCTGGTGATAAGAAGGATGGTGAAGGCGATGGCGATAAGACTTCTCTTTCAGTTGATCCACTCAAGAAACCTGCCCAACGCAGAGCCTCTGTTTCCACTTCTAGGAAACGTCTTAGTAGCCTCTTCAGTTGGGGCACTAGAGAAGAGAAGAAAGAAGAAGATCCCAATATAAAACCATTGCTCCTCGTGCAAGAGAACCAGATAGCAGATTAACATTTTAAAATTACGAATCAAATTATATATATTTTTAAGTTGCCATAAACAAAAATTTTGGGATTTTTGCCTTGACTTTTGTTTCATTGGTTTATACATATTTTTTTTTTTAAAAAATTCGGCAATGTGAGGCGTCAAGAATTTTGTAGCTGAACGAAATTCGTTGTAGTTATACGTATTAAGAATATTTATTCTTTTTTGTAAATTTATTTTTTTTTTTCGACTTTTTTTTTTTATATATTTATTATACCTACTTTTATATGCACTTGTAAAAATGCATTGAAGAAAAAAACATGTTAAAAAAGAAAAAAAAAAAGAACTAAGATATAAATTTATTTTTTTGGGATACATTAGCTATTTCAATATTATCTAACATAGGTTATTATAAATACATACATGGTTCGCCCATGCTTTTAAACTGTGTCAACCTCTGGTTTCGAAGTGACTTGTCTCTGTATTTTTGCGCGAGATCACGGGATCCGCAAAATAGTTCAATAGATTTGATTAAAGATTTTATAATCGAATCATTATATTGTGATGAGAATTCACTACTTGCAACTGCCATCAATTTATCAATAGATCATAAAAATATTGAGTTTTGTAATATAATTATATTAAAAAGTTAAATTTAACAAAAAAGAAAAAAATTTTTAATTTTTCGTATACAGCATTCTAAATTCTAAATTTCATATTTCCAATTTTATGGAATTTGCTTTTTTAGATTTTTTAACTGCTTTGATTTTGATTAGGATATTAATTGCAAGATTCTTATAAATCAAGTTATTTATTCTAGATTGCGTTTTACTGTAATAATTGACAATACTTGGAGATTTTCAATAGAATCAGGATTCTGAAGGAATTATAAAAAATGGACATTATCATTTTTGAATGTTTATACTTGTACCTTGTGTACCAAATAGATTGATTGATGTGTTGTCATCTTTAAGAATATATTTTCATTACATTTATTAAGCTTCTTCAAGTGAAATATTAAAATATCGTTAAAAACTTTGTATAATAAATTATTATGTATTTTTTTAAAAACAATTTGTTAATTTCAAATTACAGTATAATTATTATCTTCTTAAATTTTAAATTGATATTTATCATTGCAAATAAGAAGCAAGGGTTTTTTAAGATTGCAATGTAATCTTTGGTTTTTTAAGTTGTATAATTGTTTATCCTTTTTTTCCTATATTTTTTCTTTTTTTTTTTTTTTTTTCCACAAAAAGGTATTAAATACAAGGCTTTTATTAAACTTTCGTTTACTGCCATTATATTAACAATCTTTACATAAGTAAATTAATTGTAGCCTATTGCAACAATATAATGTGACATGTACAGCCTTTAAAAACCCAAGTAGGGAAAGAGAAAGGGTAAATAATGGCTAGCTACTAGTTATATTATAAACCGGTACATGTGCTTACTGGGAATAAACAAGGAGTTGTTTGATGTGACTAAGAAAATCAGGTTTTGAATATGCTGGGCCCGGGAACCAGTTTTGTTGTTATGATACAGCCTATGGGTCTTTCCATATTAGGGGCCTTGATCCCAATATGGCACGATCATCTTGCACCGATTTTTTAGAGGATAAGCTAATCATGGTTTTTGGTATGGATAGGAATTGGAAGAGTAAACAAGAAAATCAACTCCATGAAAATTTTTCTTGAGTATGTGTGGATGATGGAATGTCAGGTATCCAGGATAGGAGCGCTTATCTAGTATATACCTCTGACCAACTATTTGAGACAGAACCAGGAGCTCAGTCATGCAAAACCTTATGCATCTGGTCTCTTTATGTTAGAGAATTATTACCTTTAACTACCTGCTGTCTCTCCCCACGCATTCTCAGACTTTGGTATATGAACTAGTGACTATTGAAAGTATCCCTGGCTGTTTTTGTGTGCTTCTAGTCACAACTTTCAGTCGAAGTGATTTCAACATAACCTTTTCCAAGTTAAGCTCTTTTAAGCAAGGGAAGAGGTTTTTATCAGGAGGCCCACACCTCTTAATGAAAGTGGCTTCAGCTTGAATAAGATGTATGCTTGACCAAAATAGAAGTATCGGCATTTCAGAGAGTTGATGAAATGGATGTGAAGTAAGGAGAGAGAGGCCTAGAAAGAAAACCTTCAAGGGAAAGGGAAAACAGTTCATTGGCAGGAAAGGGGTTGAGGGAAGAGAAAAAAGAGAAAAGGGAAAAGAAAAACAATTGCTCTCTTGCTTATGATTACCAGATGTACACAGAGCCTCGCTGCAAAAAAGGTTGGCCTGTAAAGATGGGTCCCTAAATTATTTGTGAGGACATAATTCAAATGTCCCTTACTATTAAAAATTTTTATTTCTATA